TCCCATGGTCCAAAATGGAATTTTATCCTTCAATCAGAACCACATCCATAATTGTTAAAACGTAAAATGTGCGACAACTGTCCAAACCATTAAATAAATCCAAAGAAGACACCACAAAGGCCTTATGAATATGACCGCATTCACAAAGCAAGCAGTATTTTAGAAGGCTACTAACATACAATAATAGTAATAACAGTAGTAGAAGGAAATAGGTCGGCACTGAGTTATGTAATTGAGCTAGTTGTAATTACAGAGTATGAAACGAGACAAGCCAGTAATCATGTGATTATAAAGGCCTAAGAAGTCAGTCCAAACTATACACAGCTTCCTGATCTCAGCTACATAGGATAGGGATCAAAACAAGACAAACCAATGAGAGGCAGCACCAGAGGTTGGCCGAATAGTCACTACCACCTACTCATTTCTGATTCTTAACCACAATGTTCAGCAAGCCTCTGATTCTTAATCACAATATTGAGCAAGACTTCTGCGCTTTTCTCTTTTTTTTCTTTTGCTTTGGTGGTTGAAGAACCACTTTGATGGCAGCGTCAAACACGGCTTTCACATTCTGGTATTAAGGGTACATTAGCACTCGTGATATACACAACATGAAAACAAAAAATCACTGCATGTGTTAAGTGACAACCGCACCTGCTGCGTTTTTGAACTACACTCGATGTAGGCAGGAGCACCAATTAGTTTTCTTAATTCTTCTCCCTTCAACCAAATTCACAACAAATATCAAAGTCAAGATCCATGTAACTTCTGAATGAAGAACTCGTAACTTCCCCTCTAGCAAGAGAAAGGGAGAGGGGCTAAGAAAATTTATGGTACTTTGTACCTGTGCTGTAGTTATTGGCACTGCACCAGGGTGGTCCATGAAAAATTGCTTATCTTCCCGAAGATCTGCGGACAAGATTATGGGTTTACACTTAATAAACCATTCAACATTGGAGGTGTTGAATTTGCCGAAAACTGTTTTTAAGCAGTATTGACCATAGAAAAAGAATTGATAGTGAACTATGTCCTGGTGAAGAAAAAAAATTGCTACTTTTGTCGTGCACAATCTAGATATAAGTCTTGTGAACTATGTGTCCTGCATCTATTTTCTTCTCACAAACAAATTCTAGGATTTTCTTAACTCCATAACATTGATTCAAACTCAATAGTTCTTTCCTTTTCATTTCAGTAACAAGCGCTCAGCATTGAGAAATGAGAACATTTTATTTTTGGTAGACACTTTATACCAACTTCTGAAAGCATTATACACCAGGGCATTAATAATCCCTTAGCTAAAAGAAATAATAACTACTTATGAAAATGAGAAAAGCAATGTGTCTAAGACGCTGTTTAAACCATTTTACGCTCTAGGTTGGTGTGTGCATGAAAGAAATTAAGAACCATATGACCTTATAGAAAAACAAAAATGAAAAAAATAGAATAGCTTTGATAGGACAAGAAAGTAAACTGATGTGAAGAACTGGGTTTTGAAGTCAAGAAAACCCTTTCAGTATCCAAAGTTCAGCAGGTAGCTCTAACAGAATCGTCTGCATTGGTTGTTAACCTAGGACCATATGATTGAACGAAGGAAAGGAGTGAACACTTACCTAACTTCGTTCCAACGAGAATTATTGGAACACCGGGAGCGTAGTGCCTTAGTTCAGGAATCCACTGAGAAGAAATAAAAGAGAACAGCAACCTCATCAGTTATATCATACTAAGTGAAGAAATCGATTCAAATGGTGACCGTCCTAATTGAATTGTGCACATAAAAGTAAAGAAATAAACCTTCTTGGCAATGTTCTCATAGCTAGCCTTGCTTATGAGAGAAAAAGCAAGTATAAAAACATCAGCTCCTCGATAGCTCAAGGGTCTTAGTCTATTATAATCCTCCTGACCTGTAAATCAAAAAATATGTTAACCACAACAAACAAACAATATGCTAAAAAAGAAAAATACCCAATTCAATATAAACTGAATCGGTTGCCATGTTACCAGCAGTATCCCACAATCCCAGGTTTACTGTGCTTCCATCCACAACAACATTAGCACTGAAATTGTCAAAAACGGTAGGCACGTAGTCCTGTAATCATAATACGACAAACGGTGAAACCGGAAGGCATTACATAACTCATTGAAGAAGAAAACCAAAATCAATTGGAAAGATTAAGCACTAAAGAGAACAAAGAGCATCTGTTAGTAAGAGTAATATCGAAACACTCGATTGGTTAATGAAGAATGCTTCAAAATAAAAATAACGACGACAGTGTAGTGAATCTCCATATTAGGAAAGTGGGAAACCAAGTCAAAGTCCACCTGGAAACTTCAAATAATTCCACCGCATATATCTGTAATTTCAACAGCAAAAGAGCTACAATTGAGAAGGGGAAAATGTAAAAGGGCAAAGAAAGAAAGAAAGAAACCGTGGGAAAAGTGTTGCTGGTGTAGGAAATTAACAAGCAGGTTTTGCCGACAGCGCCGTCTCCGACGGTGACGCACTTTATGAACCTGGACGCACTCATTTTCAGATCAAGGATCTGCACAAACAACAATGGCTTCAACGAACTTGAAACCCCTAACGAGTTGTTGCAGGTGCAGAGAGAGAGAGGAAATGAAATGAAATTGAAATGAAATTCAAAAGAAAGGCTGACTATGACTGACCCAGAGACAACCTTTTGCCAGCTATCTATAATTCATGTGACCATTAGGTCCTCCTTCTCTTCATACCCTACTATTTACCAAATAATAATTCCTCACCCCTACACTTAATTAATAAAATAATTTAACCATAGAACCACACACCAATGTTTTATTTATTCAATCAATGTATTACTTGGATTAAAAATAATAATTTAATATTATTCAATTAAAAGTTAAAAAATTACTTTGTTCTCTATTCTGAAAATAGGTAAGCGGAGAGTTTTTCACTGCTCCTTAGAATCTTCAGAAACAGAAACTTTGCCTTTGTAAATTATTAATTACACTGTAAAAATGTTCTTAATTATAAATTATTAGTTTAAAGCCTTTGATACTTTAACAATAAATCTGATAGCGATTATAATCTTATCTACGACGAATCTCGTATATTTTATTTCCAATATCCTTTGTTTATTTAAAATGTCAAAGTAAAATTTCAAATCAACAAAAGGCACAAACGTAAGGTTAGTGGACACACCTCATTCATTACAAAAGAAAAAACATTATTGGACAGGCGAATGATTGTCTGGATTTCTCGTCGTTTATTCATAATTTAAATTTTAAAGTTACTCTCTCGTTTTTTTATTATTATTCTCACGCGTCAAAACTAGTTTTTAATTGATAAAAGAGTTTTACTCATCTCTAATTAATAATTAAGAACGAGATTAACTTTTAACAACCTTCGTCTCTGAAACAAACACGGTTGCCATTTTTGTTTTCTTCCTCTCTTCAAAACTCAACTGAGGGAAAATGGAATACCTTTTATCTTCGTCTTCTAACTAAAAAGTGCATTCAGATAAGATCGGTAGTTTCCTAGTCTCAATTCCTAATTACTAAAAACACGTATGCTATTATATATATATATATATATATATATATTATTATTATCTTTTACTAAAACAAAGTTTTGCATGTACTTTTTCACGGGTTGATTCCATTAATCTTATAGTGAATTTCGTGCATTTATTGTTACTAATTTGTCATGAAACTAGGATAAATGAGTAAATTTCATATACCAAGTTGGTGCACAACCACCACAAAAACACACCCCGATGTTGAGAGAAGAAACATCACATGCATGCAACAATAATATTGAAAAGTGTGCTTTTTTATCACCCTAATTACTTGGTATATCTGTCGGTAAAATGCTTAAATTGTGTTAAAAATATGGAAAAACCTATGGCTATTTATTTATTTTGATATTAATGTAATTTTCTTTTATGCGTTTCTTATGCTTTTAAGGTGAGATTCTCTCCATTTTATATTTTGAAACTATCTTTTAAGTTGAGTTAACTTTTCACTGCAAGAAAACCTAGGGACATCCCAACATATTTTTCCATCTTCAATATGGCCCGATCACGACTACATCATTTTTTTAGTCATGTAATTCCATAAAACTTAAATCTCAACTATTAATCAACATTAGTGGTATGTAAATTATCATTTTTAACTAAATTCAAAAGAAGAATTGAAATTCAAATATTATCATAATAAATTTATACAAAATAAATTTATGAGTAATATGGTTGTGTATCTGCAATTCAGTTTTAAAACAAAACAAAATATATAATTATAATATTAGTAGTTAAATATTCATACTTATATATTTTTTAGCAATGTATATTACATGAAATTTGACGCATACAAATAACTTTAGATTAATACAACGTTTTTAAACATGGTCTGGGTAAATAAAAAAATATAATCTAACTTGTGTTTTTTATATGTGAAGGGAGTTACTCTTCATTTTTGTAATTTAAAACAACCTCAAGAGAAAAATAATATAAAGAAAAGCATAACACACAAATTTTGAATAACACTCTGGAACCATAGGAGGTGCACCTACTTGATTAAATCTGGAGTGAGTACTTATAAATTATTTTTCTCTAAAGTGTTCTAAAACAAGTATTAAATTTATTATAATTTTTTATTTAAAATTTTATTTAAAACTACTTCCAACTTAAAATTAATCATCGATGTAAAATTTTCTTAACATTTATGTAAAATTAGGCTAATTAATAATTTGACAAAATTTCAGACGTATTAAAACATGCAAAGAGTGTCGTCTTTTGATTGTAAATAATTTTTTTCTAAAAATATTAAATCATACACGGAAAATTCTTACCCTTCCCAGATCTCTCACCACCTTACATTTAATCAAGTCAACCTTTCTATGATTTTATATATTCTCTCAACTCCCTAACGCTGCTAGCTAATACAAAGCCTAATCTAACTGTTTAACAAGAAGATTACACGTTAATTAGAAGAAAAAAGATGCAGAGAGAAATTAGATAGATAATAACAAGGATAATAATAACCTGATAATTTAAACACATATGAAACGGACTTTTTAGCCCAAACGGATGGTACATACAAAAGTTCAAAAGAACTACCAATCATCATTATGTGCATCCCATTCAAAAAACCATAGGCGGTGCACAACTTCAACTAATACCACACGACAAAACAAAACAAAGCGTATTCACCAACACCCCCGCATCAGCAATTTACCCTCGCCGATGTTTTTATTTACACATAATAACACTGTAGTAAGATAATAGTAGGTGCAAGCATCGAGTAACGTGACCCAACACACTAAGCATATTCGATCATGTTACACACGATCGACCACGAAACCGGGAGAGAGGTAGAGAGACAGAAAGAGAGGGTTACAACGTCACCGGAGGCGTAGAAGTCGCCGGAGATTGTTGGTTGCTCCGTCGTCAACGCCACTACCGGCAGCGGCCTCCGCTTTGCAACCGAGTTTCGATCTGAGAGAAAAGTTGGGTAACGGCAAACTACTGGGCGGCGGAGCCAAATTAAAAACGGCGGCCGAGACGACGTCGTTGACGTTTCCCATCCCCGGGACCAGTCTGGGAAGGTCCTTGGGATCCGGACCCCAGGGGTTTTGAGAGGCCACAATAAGAAACTGCGTGCCCGATCTCTTCTTCGCTTCCTCTCGCTTCGTTGGCTTCGATTTCTTCGGTGTCAGAGACTTGTCTCTGCCTCGAATGCCTCCGGAAGCGTGAGGAAGAGGAAGCAGAGGTGGTTGTTGTTGCACGTGGCGGTGGTGATTGAAGATAGAAGAAGCGGAGAGCGGTTGAGAGTAGGAGAATGACATGGATCGTGAAGGAGGAGGGTTCAAGAGACCTGCATAGGCGTCAAAATTCTCAGAGCGTTTATAAGAATTGAAATTACCTCCTCCTTTTTTCTTCGGGGTTTTGATTCTGGTATTCTTGTTGGGAGGCTGAGGCGTCAGAACGGCGTCCATTCAGATTTAACGGATCAAAGAAAACGACACCGAATTCGGATCAAACAGTTAATAAAGAAAAGAAAAGAAGCTAAACAGGCGTTGATCTTCTTCAAAACAAACCGATCAGTTGCCTTTGAATTAGTTTACTAGAACTTGATCTCTTAAAATCATATCAGAGGAAGAACTTTATGATATAGTTATCATAGACCATAAAACATATGAACATAATAGGAGTAGAGACCCTGGCTTTGAGAAGAGATGGGTCTGAGCCACTAAACGATTATAAACACGCTCCCATGCCTTTAATATATGGCAACAGCAACTGCTCAAAGTTTTTTTTTTAGTGAACGTTGGTGATAGGATATTTGTAATTATTTTAATAATTGTTATTTTGTTTGGTGACGATTTCTCTTATATTAGTGAGAACCGTTGCGGTAATCGAATACAGTGGAATGGTTTGAAGGGCGGCAACCGCCGGGGCGTTGAGGACCGTTGGATGCGGTCTTTGTAAATATATATATCCGTTGGGTGAAGAAAGCGATGTCGATAACTTCACGGGGTCCTCCAAAAGGGAGAAATCCTAGCCATACACGTGGCTAATATGGTGGGCCTGCCTTTTTGATATTTGTTTATTGCCCCGTGACCTCATGTGCCGGGAATAACTCTGTGCTTCCCATTCTCTTCTTTAAAAAAAAAAAAACTGCGGGACCTTGAGTTGGCTATCGCTATCTTATTATATATATATATATAATTAAATATGAAAATTTTAGTTCTGATTATTGTGAGATATTTTGGCTTTTAGATCTCTAATATTTAAAAATTGTCTCCTTTGAATCTTTACAATTAAATTTATAAACAAACATGTTTTGTATGTAAATTCCCAGCAAGGGTTTTGGTAGTCTAATAATTGGAAAAAATCGGTAAAATCATGTCGTATGAACAGTAATTCAGCGCATATATCTTCGTTTTGCGATGATGCAAATCTCTGCATGAATAGTAAATTTGTTCATTCATTTCCTTTCAAAACTATTGAAACAAACATCTTGCTCGTTTCTACACACACAGTAAACAGATAACGCTATGTGTGTCGAAGTTTTATTGAATAAAATAAAGCATTAATTAATTACATTAATTAAAAAAAATAAAAGAAACTGGAAAAACTTAAGGCGTCTAAACATCTCAAATCATTTTGGGACCCAACGGCAGCATAACAACAACATCATCACTGTTCCTCTTTTATGTTACATTATATCTAAAAATATGTTATAATTCGTGTCAGCCATGCTATGTGGAGACAAAGCTTTAGAAAACAGATTGCATGTCAAACCTTAACAATTTGTTTTGAACACCTCTTGCAATTCAATTGGCCCAGAGCAATAATCCAATATCTTTGAAAATTTCAGCTACCTTGATCCTTAATAATTTCCGAAGGCAACTTCAGAAACCTACAACTCCCGTTAAGTGGATTTAAACCTAACTCAATCACATAAAATCAGTTTGTAAGGTGAGATTTGTAACTCGTTTATATATTATAAATTGCTATTATGTCTAGTTGATGTAAAACTTTCAACATACTCTCTTCACATCGAGATACAGACATCCTCCGTACATAAGAGTAAAAATGAATGAGTGGTCCAATAGTGGTCTGACAAGGAGTGGAAACAGAAATGTCCATATAGAACTCGCTATGATAGGCCCTGGCCATGATTCTGATACCATATTAGAAAGTCTGTTTAAGTTTAAGTCAATCCCACAAAACCGGCTTGTAACACCTCACTTACATATTATAAATTACCCTTATGTCTAGTCGATGTGAGACTTCCAACACTCCAACATTTGATTGTAATATTATAATCTATAATCTATAAATTCCTACTTAGGCCTAGACATCTCAATTGATATGATTAAAGTCTTTAACTTAAAACAACTCTTGCAGTTTTTAAACCACCAGTAAAATGCATAAATGTCACTTAAAATTAAAATACAAAAAATAATATATTGTATTTAAATTTTTTATTCAAAATTATATTTATGTTTTGATATGCAACAGCCAAATTTATTACTTAATAAAATAAGAACTACATAGACAATACAAACCTCTATAAGCATGTGTTGTGAAATACTCGTACATATTTTCGCTTATTCTTTAATTAAAATGATGTTTTTTCTAAAATAAAAAATATACCGCTTTTATTGCTACATACCACCTTTATGATTACAAAGTATGTTGATATTTTTATTATATAATGGGACTCTTATATAATTTACATCTATGAACCTGTTTTGTGTACTAATAAGATTATAGTTCGACTGCGTACTCTTTAAAGTTAAATAAATTAGGCAAGTTAGTAAAGATATAATATAAAATGGAATAATAATAGTTACAAAAATTGTGAAGACAATGGTAATTAAACATGTTATAGTTGAACCATCAAAAGTAGCAGATCTTTCTGGTGGCTGAGGGGTCTTCACTCCCCCTTTTTTTTATATATATATAAATTAATATATAATGAAAAATATTCTTTAAAATTTTAATAAATTTAATATATTTGACATTTTAAAGTTTGTTATATATATCTATATAATGATTTTGATATCGTAAAAAATATTTGTTGAACATCTGTCTGATATGACTAATAAACTGTTCTTTAAAAGTTACCATATTATCTTTAGTATTTACGTTATAGTATAGATTATAAAAAGTTATTCTGTATTATAACAAAATACGTAGGTTTGAAGCCTTGATTCAATTTTAAAATAACTCATTATCTTTAGTTTTCACTCACTAAATAAAATGTAAATATAAGTTGTTTGATTAGTGCAGAGAATAATTTGGTGGAAGTGGGTAGCAAAAGAATGACGTGAGTTCACCGACCAATGATTAGATTTTCCAAGTCTAGCGAACAGCCACAGCAAAGACTCAAATTGATTTTTCTTAATATTTACTGCAATTTATTAAAAGTGGACCATGCCAATTTGATGGACAAAATATTCATACGTGTGTGTGAATATTTGTATGAATAATTAGTATTTTCAAAAATTTATTATTCACATGAATATTTTAATATTTGTTTATAAATAGGTTAAATATAAGTATTATATTATTTGTATTTATTGATATTTATTATCTAAAAATTAAAATAAAAGTTTAATTTATGTTTTATTAAATTAAATTTTAAATTTAAATTTAAATTAATATATATTTTATTAAATTTAAATAAACTTTTTATTTATGTTATATTTTATATTTTGTTTTGTAATTTTATTTAAAAATTTACAAAATATTTTTTTAAATATTAACGAGTTTTAAAATATTCGTGAGAAATTTTTAAACGAATATTTAACCACTAAGAAAGCGGTAACATGTATTTTTTTTTTTCAGATTGAATATCATACGTTATTCATACCCATTCTATTTTTTTGTCATTCTTAATAAGATAAATTGTATATTTTAAATAATTTTACTTATTTATACCGAATGCAATGTTAATCTCACAATTTTATAATTGGTTGAAAGTGACCTATTGACTATTTCCACTAAACATATAAATAAGAGCCAATTAGTCACTACTTTCATTTATAAATTATTTGGGATAAAGCTTTTTTGTTTAACCTGAATTAGATCTAAGGAGAGAAAAAAGTCACTTAAAAAGAGGAAAAACAGGTCAATGAAAAACGTGTGTGACTGTTTCTTGAAATAGAAACAATGATATTATACATAATTTTAATAAAAGACTAACTTCTTTATAATGAACAGTCTTGATTTTCTTCTTGGTCGGTCGGTTACTTGACTCTTGGCATCGTTGTCACCCGATGTGCACTTTGAATTTAGGTTAAACCATTCAATCACAACACAATAATATACAGTGTTTACGATGTTCTATATATTTTATTTTATTTTTCTGGAAAATAGCTTTCCAGTTAATAGAAAAATACCAGTTCTTCTTTCATCACCTAACATTTTTTTAAGACAAGTTGAATGTATTTCAACCGAAAATTTATTCGAATTTAAGCTATAACATTATTATAAAAGGAAAAGAAAAAGATTCAAAAGTTTGTTGTTACTTTGTTCGGTTCAATAAATTTCCGAAAAGTAATTGAACAAATTTGAAGGTAAATTTTTTATTGTTTATTTGAGTGGATTTGGAGGTAAGTGAAAGTGGGTTTATAAGTAGAATTTTTTAATCTGTCACATCTATTAAATCCTACACTAATTCTCACAAATTTTACTTTCAAATTCAGTTTCACTTACCTCCAACTCCATTCAAATAAACAACAAAAAAATTACCTTCAAATCCTCTCAAATCTATTCAATCACTGTTCCCAAAATTCATTTAAGTGAACAAAGCTTTAATGATCCAGTATCTCTCATTTAGCTCGTTTGATGGTATAATTAAAAATTAAAAAGTCAAAATCATGTTTATTTTAAAAATAATATTCAAAAACCTTAAACCCATAACTAAAAGGATTGATGGAAATATATTTAAATAGAAATATTCATTTTACATAGGTTTAATCCTTTACTACATCCCTATTTATGTACGAATTTCTCAATTGGGTCCTCGTTTTTTAAAGTGTATCAAAATGGTCCCTAATTTTGAAAATTGATATCAATTGAGTCCTTTTAAAGTGTATCAAAATGGTCCCTAATTTTGAAAATTGATATCAATTGAGTCCTTTCCGTTAAGTTGGCTGGACGACGTTAAAAAAATTGATGAGTGGATGCTGAGATGACAAACGAGCGCTCGTCCACCAGCGAACGAACGCTCGTCCACCAGAGAGCTGGACAACCGTTCGTTCGCTGGTGGACGATCGTTCGTTCGGTGGTCGACGAGCGTTTGTTCGCTGATGGACGAGCGTTCGTTCGCTGGTGGACGAGCTCTCGTTCGTCATCTCAGCATCGCACTCATCAATTTTTTTAACGCCGTCCAGCCAACTTAACGGAAATGACTCAATTGATATCAATTTTCAAAATTAGGGACCATTTTGATACACTTTAAAAAACGAGGACCCAATTGAGAAATTCGTACATAAATAGGGATGTAGGAAAGGATTAAACCTTTTACATATTTAATCAAGATTAAAATAACAATCTTAATGTAGCGAGTTTTATTTTAACATTATTACCTGAATATAAGTTACAATTTTGTTACGAGAAAAGTTTGTGTTTTTCTTCCTCCCGTATCCCCTTCATTTCATGGAGTAGGGGTGTAATTCATTCAAGCAAGACCTTCATTTTTCCTACCATTCCAGACAGAGTTTATTTTACATTTCAAAAAATAT